GTCGCGGTCAGCAACGGCATGCGGTTTCTCTGTCTTCGATGTGATATCATATGCCACGCGTCCATCCCCCATTGGCTGTGGCCCCTGCATTCTAGTACGTTCTGACACTAATTGTGTAAGACGAGGTCATGATGAATAGCCTAGACTAGCCTAGGCTAATGACCTGTACGTCAATAGCTTATCCTGGAGTAGAGGAAGCGTCCAGGACGGGGTACCTCTCGGCACCGAGAAAAGGCCATCTCAGAACCGAGGGAGGTATACCGACCGAGGTACCATATCAGACCGAGGCTACGTGTTGGTTGTAACTCGTACTAAATGCCATGATCCTATATGACGAGTACCTCAGGGGCGAGGACCTTTGTGCGCCGATGGTGTTTGATCTTAGCAACAGTGTTTTGGTAAATACCGAGGACACGTGTCTTCATCATGGAGTATTTCAGAAAAGTCCTATCAACTGCCCCCCAGCCTTCGATCTTCTAACACCGAGGGCACGCGTCGTAAGGAGACGAAGGGTTTCCCAACAACCACAAATGCTTCATCATTGCCTCGAGCAGCTTTCCCCGGCTTAGGATATCGTGTGCATTAAATGCGTCGTTTCGTTTTTTCGCGCCCAATGATGAAACTGCCACTATATAATTGGGGTTCCTCTTGCATTTTCTTGTTTCGCCATTCCGAACTTCCTCAATAGAGCCTTTTCCTGAATCTTCGCCGGAGATCTCTTTCCTCTTCCATCGTCGACTGCCCATTCTTCTTAAAGTGTTAAGGCCAGCAGACCCATCGTTGCTTCTGAACTTTCTGGAAGGAGTCGCCTAAAGTTTTCCAGAAAAAACTCCGTTTGGCATTCGGGTGAGTCCTAGTTTCTTTCTTTTTTTCTTCCTCCTATCCCTTTTTGTTTTCCGATGACTGGAGGTGTCTCCGGTTGATACTTAGCGACTAGTTCTCGGGAAACTTCCTCAGGGATTTTTAAGAAAAAACACCCTCCACTTTCTCACTTTCCTAGAGATGCCTCGTCGTCGGCCTGCTCCCGAGAATCCTCAGGCTGGTTCTTCGGGGTCAGGGAAGTATAAAGTAAAGGGTGGTGAGCAGATTAATAGGTTTAAGGTCAAGTACGGCATTCCCCCGTGCGTAGACATAGAGGATTATGACTCGGTGGTGCACACTCCTACCCTCGGGGCCGAGGATGCTATGCCCTTTTATACCAAGGCCATAATAAAGGGCGAAATTAGGTTTCCTTTACCCCCTTTACTTCTCTAGTTTCTCTCTCACTTCCGCCTCTTCCCCGGGCAGTGTTGCCTTAATGTCTTCAGAATAATTATGGGGGTCTTAGAGCTCAATAGGCGCCTCGGGATAAATATTGGGCTGAACGATCTCCTTTTTGTTATTCCCTCTTGAGAGTCATGTCTCACCAACACTTCTACCTTAAGGCCAGGGACCCCTCCATGTACCTTGTAACTCATCTTTTCAACTCGGACAAAGGTACAAGGACGATATTCTTATTTTCAAGGGATCTTGGCAGAGAGGTGTTGGTCCCGAGTATAACGGCTTGTTATGCCATCTGGAATGGAGAACGAAAAGTACGTCGGTTCCTTCGGGTTTATTATTTTGTTCTCCAGACTCCCGATGTTCATGACTACTTTTTTGTTTGTGCAGATATCCCTGCTCGGGAAACAGTTCCTCCCCCTCGGTCGCTGGTGAACTTCGCCGACCTAGTCACGGTTTTGGAGATTTGCTGGTGACAACGGGTTCGGCCGGGCTGCCCATATCCTGCTGAATTACACCCCGGGTATAAGAAATTTTCACAGCTTCCTCAGCCTTTTGAGCCTTCGCGGTGGTTTGAATTCTTCGATCAGGCGGCGAGGCAAGAGGTTGAGGAAAACTTGGAGGAAGACCCCGATCGGGCTTCGGAGGCAGAGGTAGAGGGAGTAGTTGAAGAGCTCGGGGTCAGAGAGGACGTTGTTCCTTCGGACGCCGAGGTGGGGACTTCGGGAGGAGATTATACCGTAAAAATTCTGTAAAATATTTTCACGCTTTAGGCCCCAATTTATGTTGGGCCGCCCTTGTATTTGTTTTTTGTATGAAAATGTATGACACTATCAGTTTAAGGTTCCTAAAAACGGTGAAACAGATATTAAAAAAAAGAACAAAATCTGTTGTAAGTTAATCAAGAAAAATTTAATAAAAAATAATAAGAAAATATTTAAAACTGACTTGTGTATTTAATAATCAAATTTTTAGACGCTATTACAGTTAATAACCATAAAGTTTGAGCTATATACTCAAAATCAAATAAGTTCTCCGAAGCGTAGCAATAAAAAGCTTCAAGCCCATTTAGCCAAGAGAGACATGAAGCCAGCACCAAAAAGGAGGGAAGCATTAGCCTTTAACTGAAGCTGTCCATTGTTCTGCATTCTTAGGTTCATAAAATCAGCTGAGAGAAGATCCACAAGTGCCATACAGATCAATATCCCTGCTGATGCTGCGTTTAAAACCCCCTCGACGATTAGAGCAGTTGGGTTGTTCTCCTTGTAAATGTTTGTTATTCTGATGCCGATTACGATACCAATCGGGGTTGTCAGAGAGAAGAATACCGTCATTATCGCAACGGCCCGTGATTTGAATTTTGCTTAGAGAAGACCAAAAGAAGACAAAAAGTATTTACTGGCTTGATGTGTTAATTTTGACTTTGAATCACAAGCTTTTGATTTTTAGACTAAGATCTCTTCCAATCTATATTTTTTCTATTTTTCTTCCTATTGAGAATTTTTGTGGGACCTATTATACACAAGAAGGTTCTTCACTTATTAATGATAAATGATTTGTCAAGAAAAAAATAGAAGAAAAATTTATTTGAGGGGATCTAGATTGTGATCTTGGCTATCCATGATACGTACTGGTTCATCCTCAATGGTCCCATCCATATAAAAAAAATATATAACATTAATTTAATTTGATGAGCCACCAAAGGATCATATCCATATTAATCTTATGTACTGTTACTCGTGATAAAAAAAAAACTATATTACAAGACTTAGGCAAGATGTGAGTAACCCCAAAAATTAATTAAGCTAAAAATGATGTTGTAAACATTTCCAATGGATGTCAATTTACAAGTTTATGGTGTAATTTCAAAAGCTGAAAACCAAGTCTAGGGCCTATAGGCTATAACTTTAGACAAAAAAAAAATGAAAGTTAAATTGAGTAGTGGTGTTGATACCTGAGCCATGCATCCACCAAGTCCCATGCCCTCAAAAAATTGATGAAATGTCAAGGCAGCCACAAGAGGCCTTATGGTTTTTGGAGTTTCAGAAGCACCCAAGGAAATTCCAATAATTACAGAGTGGACTATAATCTCCAACTCCAAAACCTACAATATAACACCAATCAGCAGTCACATGTACAAATATTTACATGGCATCATTTTATTAGGACTTAATTTTCTGATTGAATTACTACGTATCATTACTAATATAATTTTCTGATTGAATTACTACGTATCATTACTAATATACATATTCAAGTAATTGTTGACATGCAACAGAGAAACTATTCAAACTATAACTTTTTTAAAGTTTAAATTGCTCTCATTCCAACTCGTTTCGAAACCACCAACCCAGCAACACATCTTACTGTTCAAATCAATTTCATGATTTCCAGAGAGAGAGAGGGAGAGGGAGGGAGGGAGAGAGAGAGATAAATTTCATTTTATTCACTTGGTTTGGCCTTTTTGATTTATCCTCTATGATTTAAAAATAAATAAATAATCCCTTATGTTGTTTTCCATCAAAGTACTAGAATCTCAAAATTATATTTAAATTGACACACAAGCATAATACGAGAGTTGGTGTGAAAATTTTGAATCTAAGTCAACGCAAAATGACAAAAATTAAAAATAAAAGAATCGCATATCCACACCACACAAACCTCTTCTAGTGGAATCCTCCACCCTTTGTGTATGTTGCTGCTTTTCTTTCAGTCCTCCCACCGCGTTGAGAGGTCTATGTCACCTCCCTTGGTTGGCTTCCCCTCTATGTGAAATAGAACATCTAAAGAACTTCGACATAGTACCCAATCGCCTTCCTGTGACACAATCTCTAATTGACGCCGGCCACATGAACAACAAGCTTCCTTCTATAGAAAAACTCACTTGAATTGACACCAGCCACAAGCAGTGAACCAATCCATTCTTTATCTTTCTTAGTAATCATTGTCTGAGATCAAAGCCAGCCACACCAATGGAGTCATTCTTCATCCTCATCTTCATCTTCGTCAGTGTTCTTCATTCCTTTTCCTTTCTCTCTCCCTACAAGCCTAGTCGTTCTCTTCGCCGAAGTGCCTGCCCATTTTCCAACACCATATCAAAAACCCTATGAATTACGGATGAATTTTCTTTTTTGGAACTGATTTGTTAATGAAAAGGGGGACCATGGTTGTGCGCTTGAAATTGGGTATTTTGAGAGGAAAATGTCTATGTAGGAGTCTCAAGATTGTTTTACTTACAAACTGTTCAACAATTGTCTATGTTGGACTCTGCTATTTTGGACATTTTAAAACCTATTGTAAATTGTTTTAGAATTGATGGGTTGCTGCTTAGAAGAAAACCGTTGTAAATTCTTATAATTGATGGAGAGTTGATGTATTATCATATTGAACAAAATCATGGTAGTAACTACATTGGTTATTTTTTGTTGAATTTGTTTATTTTCTGATGGATTATAATCAAATAATCAAACCACTACAGCATGGTTCCATTTCCAAATCCTTCAATTTGTTTAGCACTTCAACTTGCAAGCCATTTCTGGGCAATTATTGGCTTCTTGTCAAATGAAATAGGCGCATGCCATGCAGTTAGATCTTGATGAGAAAATTAACCCAGTGATAAAATTAAGCAAATATTCAAACCACAATAAATAACTCGATACGTTGTATCAAACGAAATAATGTATTGTGTGAAAAGGCGAAATTCACCTTTAAATTGTATTACAAATATCCAAAGTATCCAAAAGTATTAGAACAATACAACATTGGTAATGCAAATTGACACAAACACTAACTAACCGTCTTTCTCTTACACAACTAAGTAATCTTTTCTTGCATAACAATGCAAATCAACGCCACCATAGCAATAGAAATCATGTCAAATGGACTGGGTAACACAAAGTGGACACAAAATACTACAATCTTCCTCTTTTCCATACCTGCCATAGGAAAAAAAATAGTACAATAAATGGTTTATTCAAGTTTAAGAACAAAAAACTCAACTTTCGAATAAAAATAAAAATTCCTAAATTTCTCTCCAACTCATCAAATATACTTGCCAATAGACGTTGACGTTAAGACGTAATTGGCAACTCCGAAATTTCTACCATTTCTTTGGAGATAGATGAGAGTGCAAGCACAGGGTGCATACCCTATTCACCATCCCAAGAAAGATATTGGTATGGTAAGCAAGAATAAGAATTTCATAAATTGAAATTATAGTCAATCCATTAAAAAAAAAAAAAACTTTTATAATGAATCTTAGATTGCTAACCACAAAATGATATCCAAGACCTCTTTGAGTGACCCCCTATAGCAAGGCCATATTGTTTCTATCACCAAAAACAAAAACAAAAAAAAATAGTAGATTAATACAGTAAAAAAAAAATTACGATGTCAACAAGATAATAACATATAAAATTTTCATAATTCACATTACTAAATTGAAAGAGGAGCATTGGACCATCAGTTATGCCAACATTAACCATTTGTTTAATCTGTGAATCCTACATGTTTAAAGTTAACAAATTAAGACAGATCACAATAATAAATAACATCCAAATATTATAATTATTATTTGGATGTTGAGGTCATACTGTCATCTCAATACTTTCTTGTGTTCCAAGTACAATCAATTGTTTTCACGTCGTGGTTGACCATCAACAAGCCCAATGGCATCACTTTCGCTCGATCGGCAATCCTACAAAATAAATAACAAAAGGAAATAATTACTACATTATTATTTTAAAAATTGTCATTTTATTCACACCTCTTCTCCTTTAGTGGTATGACGTCCATGCGATAGCGTCTTCTTCTTTTTCTTTCTTTTTTTTTTCCTTGTAACTTGCTCAACTTTTGATTGCTTCCTTTTGAACGGTGGACAACCTTTGCTTCTAATTGCTAATAGAGTAAGTATATTCCTATCCTTTGATATATCATTTACATCACTGGAGTTTCTATCAACAATCTAGTTGGGACTGGTTGATAACATCCACTACTCCTTTGTTTTGTTGTAGTTTCTACTTTAGACCAAGTATACAATCTATCACAAAACGTTCACTTATCTTCATATCCTGCCGCCAAGCTTGCCAACTCGCTAAAAGCATTGCACATTTTATCAATTCATTATGCTTCAGGTGTGACACTCAAATTATAACTGATTTTAATCTTTGTGTGGCACTC